GAGTGTCTCCAACTCCGCCCTCGTCAGAACACTTCGAATGTGAACCACTTCGTCCAATGTTAGCGTCAGACAGTCAATTTGCTGTTGCCACATTTGCTGCAAAATAAAATTTTGGAATCAAGCTAAAATGATACATATACTGTATTCGTATTTTTTCGAAAATACTATCAATCCCTAGGTGCATTTATAATAGGAACTGAAGCAAGAATTTTACCGGCGTCGACAATGTTCAAGAAAAGCTCATTGAAAATGGCGGACGGAAAAGTTTATGAATTTTAAATAATATTTTCCAGAAGAGAACGCATTGCGACGAAGACAAAGTTTAATTTTTAGGAAAATTCAGTGAAAATCATCACGAAGACAATCTTGTCATTCGAAAAAAAAAGGCTCCACTTGAATTGAATCATCCTCTTGCATGTTCAATGAGATTCATTTTAATGGGCGGACAATTTTGAAAAACCCCCATGCAGTAGCATTTTGCATGATTCAAAGACAAGACCAGGTTTTGCAAAAATTAAATAAATAACAAATTTCTTAATTTATTGGAATAGTTGTGGCTTTAAAATAAATACTTACGGATTCCATCAACGCTTCCTGAAATACAGACTTCGATGACGGCGTTTCCAAAGTGAAAGGAGGAGGTTCAGGCGATTGTTTCCCGGTTTCTGCTCTAACAGACTCAGACGAATAACGCCGAAAATCCTTTGTTCGTCCACCTTTCGAATTTTCGAGTTTATTCGGACGCTTCGCTTTCGGTTTATCCGGTTTGAACATGAGTATTTTCTTGGAGGATTGCGCGACTTTCGGTGTGAAAGTTGCATGAGCTTCAGAATCCAAACATGTATCGGATTCCTGCGTCGGAAATAAAAGTCCTCTCATACAGAATATACCATTAATAAAAATATTGAATAAAAACTTACATCCGATTCGTCAAACACCGATAAATAATTGTCTACAGTGATTCGTCGACGAGTGGATCCACTCGGAGTGTCAGTCTCATCTAAAAAGAATGCAGGCGTCAAGTGAAGATAATCTAGCTGAAACTTCAAACAAGAGTTACCAGCACCAGCAG